AAAAAAAAAAAAAAAAAAAAAAAAGAAAAACCTGGATGGTTGTGATGTTTCAATTATTTCTTCAATCCAGGAAACCAGTCCGTGTTGCCTGGAAATGATTGGGCTACTTCTGCGGAGAACTGGCTTCTTCTCAACCCGACCCAGATCACATCCAGAGTCCACCAGGTTCCTGCTCAGGCTCATGTCGTCTCTTCTGATTTCGTCATTGGATTCTTGACAATAGGAGAGCGTGGTTTCCTCTAGAAATGTCTCTTTTTCAGATGGTCGAGACCGAAGAAATGGAGGCGACCTGGTATTGGCTGTTTCTGCAATTGAGAAAACAGAGTTGAAAAGAATGACAGATGTGGGTAAGGTGAATTCGAATATAATGTTTTGTGGAATGCATTTTTTTTTTATTACAGTCTTTAAATGTATTCTTGTATAGATAGTTTTACGATGACGTTGCGCTACTACCCATAGTTCCGTAGCCGTATGGGTCTTTTCCATCGATTATTTTCAACTTATGTCTTAAGTATCTCGCTTTTGTAATTGTGTCTAGTGAATATCTATACAACAATTTCGTCTAAACCACCTCCAGCAATTTAATATTATTGTCTTTTATTGTCATCATCATCTGTTCGCGTCTTTTACCACACAACATGGCTGACGGCGCGACGCATATTACGGATTTTCGCGTTTTTTTTGCGATATATATATATATATAAATGTTGAAATTTCCAATATTTTCATTATTCTAGTGATGAAATAAGCATCATAGCCTAAGGAGAAAAAAATGTAAAAATATAAAAAATACCCCCGTGACAGACAAGGGACCACTGGAATTCATTCTACTGCTAATCCTTTCTAGGATTAGTTTAAAAAGTGTAAATAAAGTGAACCGAATCTAAATTTAAACTCGATGTATGAATAAATTATAAATAAAATAAAATAAAAATAAAATAAAATTAAATAAAATTAAATAAAATAAAATAAAATTAAATTAAATTAAATTAAATTAAATTAAATTAAATTAAAACAAGTATGTTGTGACTTGTGTGTGTACCTGTAGCTGTTGCTTTTGCTTGTGGTTCCGTTACACACCAGGTGACATAGGTCGAGCTCCGCTTGCAGGAGACTTTGTCTCTTAACGTTTCCATCTAAAAAAAAAAAAAGAGAGAGAGAAAGATTTCTTAATGAAAACAGGTCTGATGAAAAGCTGATGCTGTAACATTTCCTTTGTGTTGAGTTAATAATGTTCTTGTCTGTCTGGGCGTTATCTTTATCTTACGGCAGTGGCATTACAGCTCCAAATCATTAATGGTATGAACGACAGGAGGAATTCCCTGGAAACAACAACCGAAAAGGCCGATGTTTATACCTGCTCTTCCAAAAGAACCCTTTTTTATGCCTCAATACCTTGATCTGATATCACTGTTTTTATTCAAAAAAATGTTCCACAATTAGTGGTAGTTCTTGAGGGAAGGGAACGTGCTACTCAATATGTGGCTCAGGAGTTTGTACAACCACACCTAAAATATCTGCACTGTCATTTAGTCTTGAGTCCTGTTAAAAAATAAAATGCATAATTTTCACAATAACAACAGTAGTAAAACACATTTCGTACGTAACAAAAGAACAGTAGAAAACCCGAGTTTGTGCCTATTCTAATAATAATAATACGTTAATATAATAATAACTGAATGTGATGGAAAGTAAGAGCAAACTCACGTTCGCAGGCGACTTCAAAAGTCTTCAACCACCGAAATAACTCACAGAGGAAGTGCAGCAACAGTTTTATCAACACTTCCTGTATTTATTGCAAATTTTTTTCTCCCTCTGCTGATGATGGTGTTAAAAACTGGGTATGTTTCAGTCTCCATTGTCTCTGATGTCCTGTGGCGACTGTTGCACTAATGGCTCATTAAACCCATTAAATTGAGTTTTAGAATCGTCACAATATTAAAAGTAAGTATTTGAATGTCTTGCTTTCCATTATTTTATTTTATTTTTTCACTTTTATTAAAGAGGACGCAGCAGGAGTCACATTATCGTTGTTGTCTATGTTCATGTCTTTTAAAGAGAAGCCGTTCAGTGGTTACTGAAGCCCTTTTAAATGTATTATTATTATTAAAGCAGTGAATTTAGGTTTTGATGTAATTTTTCACTATTTAGCAGTTGTAACATTTAACTAAGGAAAACATTTTTTAAAACTGCGAATAAAGACTATGGTCTTAATTTTATTTGGTACAATACAGTCACGGACGTTTCACATTTGTTTCTATTAATGATTTCAAATGAAACATGCGTGTGTGAATTTTCTTAATCTTATTTGCCTCAATGACGCAAACAGACCAGAGGGGGCAGCAGAAGACCAGTAACTCATGTGTCCCTGTGACCCAAAAATCACTGATTCATTGTTTGGGATATAATCATTTTTTGGTTTGCAGTGAATAAAGAAAGATTCCTTCAAAGAAAGATGTATATTTATTTCGAAATGTTGAGTTACCATAGAATGCCTTAATTTGTCAATACAATTTATTTTCTTTCACCTTCTTTAATAAAAAAAATACTTATTTAAAAATATTTCGAAATAATATGACTATATACAAATTCTGTTTCATTAAGAACATATATTTGTATTCATGATATAATTTATACGTATGGGACATCACATACACTTAGGAATTAATTAACATATTTATAAAAAATATGTTAAAATAAAAAACCTTTTGGAAAGACGTCGAAAACGCTGTCTTTTTGTTAGCAGCTGGATAATTAGTAAACGTCACCGCTTTTATTTTGAAACATAACGGATATATGTTCGCTCTTTCCTCTATGCAGCTTCAGCGCAGTCACAGTCGGGGAATCACGGAGGAAACCGAGGCTGAGCTGAACGTCGACAAACTCCGTGGATTCTGTCGCTGTTCACCTCCCTCGTTCATACCGATACAGTGACACGGTAGACGCTCACACGGAGGAGAGAAGGGAGGAGGACCGCGATGGCGGAGTCAGCACGACCTCCTTCTACTCCTGCTGCTCCTCCTGCCCCCCCATCTCAGCTCGGTCCTTTTTCTTCCCCCTGTTCTCTCCAAAATCTGAACCTGCCACCGAACCGAGGCTTGGAACGGGCTCTGGAAGAGGCGGGTCTCAGCGGAGTCCTGAACATTAGCTGTCGCAAACTCAAGGACTTTCCGCGCACAGTTCATTCGCACGATCTTAGTGACACATTGGAGGCAGGTAAGATACCGACACGCATTTTCCCATCTTTGGTATAAACTATGATTTTAGGTCATACAGAGACAGGAGGAACTGGTGTTGTGCTGCCTCGTGTGGACAATGTGTGCCATTTACAGAGTCCTGCATTGGGAATTTTTAAAATTTATCCGCCACCCCTGAGTTCTTATCAGTGTCGGTGCCAAGTCAATCAGTCATCATACAAGGGCGGGAAAACACCCTGGACACTAGGCAGTGATATGGACACATATCCACCTTATTCCTGGATGGTTATATTTCCTGTGGGTTAGCTGAATTATTATCTTTACGTTTTTCTACTTTCTGTTCAAGTGTTGTTGACATTGAGCCTGTAAACCAGACTAGTGTCGGTGGCACACTGAAAGGCGAAAGTCAGTCTGAGAGTTGTTGGAGTGGGATGCATATTATCACGTACGAGGTGACTCCATGTTTTTGAAAGCAGAGGTAGACATGGTAGCTAGCTAGTCCTTCGTTTGTGTGTACAGCACTCTGTTGCTATTAAATCCTTTTAACTTTTACTGAGTTGTTGGCACCGTCCACTACTGCTTCTTGAATACAGCGAGCATTGACTAGAAGTAAGGAAATTGGTGTTACTGTCATGGTGGACACCAAAACAACCATTCACCGTGACATACATTCCTCTGGTCAGTTTAGAGTGAACCGAATTTACATGCTTTTTGACTGTCTGAGGAAATTGGACCACATGGAAAACACACACACAAACATAAACATAGACATAAACACAAATATGGGGGAAA